TCTCTGTAGCTCCATGTTAAGTCATCACTAACCCTTGATATAGGCAGTCATACTGGGTTTATTCACTAAAGAGAATTAACAAAGGAATTGCAAAATGAATGGGAAATTGCTAAGTTTCTGGAGAAAAACATTCTCTGATTTTCTTTTCCAAACTTGGCTTTTTTTGGAATATGGTTTGTAATTCCCTTGTTATTTTTTCCCACTATTCCCTGTGTAATGACTACAACTCACTTTTTATCTTTTTGTTGTTTTCTTGTGATTGTTCATCTTATGTATCGCTACCTTTTGGGCTGTATTAATTTTGGATTGTTTTTAATAATTTCTGATTTTCTCTTTTCATGCTGGGAACTCCTGTATTTATTGAAAGTGTAAACAGAATATAAGAGAACACAGAAAATGGACAAAAACTCAATATTGTGCCCTCTGGTTATTTACACTCCAATTTTAGCACAACCTTCTATTACAGAGGAAACCTGCGTCGTTTGCATTTTAGACAATCCCACCACAAGTGCTAGGTAGGTCCCCTCGTCATGGAAAATACAGCAGCTCAAGAACATTAAATCTACCATGTTTGACTTCATCAGTTATGTGTGATTGGTACCCGTCTTAAACGAATGCTTTCTTTTTTTTTTTAGTTAATACTTTAACGACATGGTTGAAACACGCAGCCCTGTAGTTGCGTTCTCTTTTTAATTCTTTAAGCTTTTTACATCCAGTATCATAGACCCCTGTGAAATTTTCAAGCACGTCAGAGCATAAACAAGTTGAAATTCAGAGATTTGTGTATAAGGAGTTTCACCATATTTGGTCTAAAATATTCTTGATTTTTGAGACGTGCTGTTAAAGTAAAGCTATGCAGATCTTTAGCATTTTTTTTTTTTTTTTATTGGCAGTTGTTCCATTCCACGGTGGCCTTGCCAAGGCTGTGTGAATCATAGCGAAGTTTTTGACAATATTCTGTAAGATCTATGTTCGGCACCTGGTTCCTATTTGCTAACAAGCATCATGGCTAAAATGTGAAATGTTTCAACTAAACAAGTCACGGAGGCTTTTATTGAGGGTTGGTTCTAGCAAGATGTGAGAACATCAAAATCGCCAACCCCCTCCACCCTTTTAGAAACCAATAGCTTCCCTGCTATTATTATTTTATTTATATAGCACCAGCAAGTTCAGTAGTGCTGTACAATGCTATTGGAACCTTGATACTAATACTCCTAATCACTACATGGATTTTACGTTCACACTGTATTGGCTACTGAAACCATGAATGATCTATGCATTGGCAAAGCAAGATTACTTGGAAGGCATTTTATGTTAGCACAAAGCACAGTTTAGCTGAGAGGGCACTATAACTTAAATATTGAGATAGTTGGATGCAGTAAGTAGACTTTTATGCTAAATGGACGTGTGGTGGGGCAGGGCTTTGGGTGACCATGGACCCCTCTTGTTAAATACTGAAGGGAGTCCCGAAACTATAACCACTTCAATGACATTCCAGCTGGTATGCTGGAGGCATAGTCTTTAGTTAGTTATGCTAGTCTTTATTTTGAAAGGTTACACTCCCCTCCCTTTGTACTTCCCAGAGCCTTTTGGATCGAGCTCAAATGCATCACGGTGAACAGATCTTTAAGCACACATTCACAGGATTTTACATTAAACTCAGAATTTTCATGAATTAAATCTGAGTGGAAAAAAGAGTTAAAAAAAAGCTGATCTATAAAAATTCTTCAACTCAAAATTAAAAACTTGATTATTGTTTCATCAGTTTTGCCTTGTCTGCCACACCATTCTGAGTGTAATCTCTTGGTAAACGGCGATTGAAGATTTGTGAACTTGTTCAGTAAACTCCTGTTGATGGAACAGTGTGTTATTGCTGCCGTGAGCTAAACTTAGATTTTTTTTATTTATTTAATGTACTCTGGCATTTAACTGAGAAAATTACATTTGAACAATAAGTAACGGGAGACGCTTTTTATGCGCAGCACGCTCATTATCAAGAGGTTAGGAGGAGGCATCAGTAAGTTTTGAGGATTAAAAAAGGCTTCAATTTGACTTAAAAGGTTTTCATTGGGATTTAAATTAAGGGAACACTATAGCGTTGGGAATACAAATATGTATAGCATTTAGGTGACTAGGGCCCCATTCTGCAGTGAATAAATGGTTAACCATTTATTTGCTTACCTTAATCCAGCACTGGTGACCTCTCCTCCTCCATCGATGTTAGCTTCCGAGTGGAGCCGCATGCGCGGCCAAAGGCGAGCGTACATTCAAACCCGCCCGTAGGAAAGCAAAAATACTGAGTTTTCTCATGGAGCTCACTCGAGGTGCGACTTATCAGTATGGCAGTCAGGCCACACACCCCTAATTCTGATATTTTAAGCCAAATTGGTTGAAATCTTTAAGTACGCTATATTTTAATTTTGGCCAAAATGTTTTTAATTTTCTTTACATTCCAGACAAATCACGGTTTACTAAACAAATCTGTGAGCTATTTGTTTTTCTTGAGAATCCATATATAGGAGATATATATGATCTATTATGTAATAGAAAAGAGTGGGAGAATCCTTCCCTTTGTGTTTAATCCATTGGAATCCTAATACACCATCTAAGTCTTACCACTTCATTTATTTTTATTTTTTTAACATTAATGCTAAACTGTAAACTGATGAATATCTGTTTAGATATCCTGAGGAGTATTGTTTAATGGGTTTAGAAACCAATTGCAAGATACAGATTGAGTGCTACATAAAGTGACCAGGGAATACTGAAGGCAAATGGAAAGTTTCTGAATGTTAATACTGGGCTATGACATATGTTGGAGCTTTCAAAACAATAATAATTAGGAAAATCCTACACTCTGCAAAATGTTTAGAGAGTGATTTTCCATTCTCCTCACAAAGAGTGTATTTGCTCGCAGTGAGACTCCCGAAATAATATTGGAACTTGGATTGTGATTTCAAACTAAGTATACATTTTATACCAGGGTGTTTTTTTGTAAATTTGTAACGTGTAAAGGAGTTCGCTACGGATGTGTTGATGGTGGGAAAATTAAACGTTTTATCTGCTGCGGAAGCACTAAAGAACTTTAGATTATAAATGGGCAGCAAAATATTATTACCCCAAACACTTGCTCTTTTTACAGTTTTTATTAACATTCTCAAATGTAATCAATAATATCTTTGATACGTTTGTATGCATTACTGATGAATAGGCACTTGCCAAATAGCAAACAGAGGCACTGCCATTTCAATGATGGTGAGATTGTTAGATTTTTTTTTTTAATGCAAAGGAAACTTTCCTATGATATGTTCAATTTAATATAAAACATTTTCACAGTTGAAACAGCGAGTTAAAATGGTATATCAGTTTATTGGTACTAAAATAATCTGTGCAACTCCAGTCACTCTCAGCCAGCCAACTAACGTGGATAATCCTTTAACACCAAGTGGCATTTTCTTTATTGTATCATTTTTGCACATTACTCAGTCTTCCTCCCTGCAGCTGTAAATCAAACCCAGTGATTTTAGTATTTCTCTGTAAAACCAACTGAAGCTAATGCTTTGAACATATTTAAACATATTCTCATCTGGATGAGACCAAGGAAGATAAAATGATGTTGTAAATGTGATCAGATTTAAAAAAACACACACGTTTCTGTTGATTGTTTGTTTTTTGTGACTTTGTTGTTTATCCTCATATGCAAATGAGCATATCCATCATAGCGTTGAATTTGCATATTTGGGCTGACGGTGACATAAAATGGACAAATTCATTTAAATCAGTGGGGCTTATTTACAAACCACCACTTTGTAGCGACTTGAGGTAGCTCAGTTGGTAAATTCCCTGACTACACAGCCTGTTCAAAAATGCAAGGTCTCTGGGTCAAATCCCTGCAGGGTCAACTCAGCCCTTCATCCTTCCAGGGTTGATAAAATGAGTACCGTCAATTGGGTAATAATAATAATCGGCTATTACTATTCCGTTGCCGATTCGGTTAATTTCGAGAGCGTACGCTGAAAAGCTTAAACGGAGTCCCACTGGGAGAAAGGTGCTATATAAATACTAGTTATTATACTAGATATTCAACCTATACTCCAGCCTTCAGGGCAATGTAGTTTTCACAAAGCTGGAGTGCCAAGCTTAGCAGTCACTTCTCGTGCAATAATACATCACTTGTCTTGGCCTCCCTCCCTTATCACGCCCCTATATTGCAACTTGCACTGTGTGGATGTCACAAGCTACTTGAATGGCTGGAAAAACAAGGACCTGACTCAATATTAACAGGACGGATAATGTGTCTCAGGGTTCTACATTTTCTCCCACAATGGAGAGAATACGCAAGACAGGGGGGATATGATAGAAACATTTAAATACATAAAGGGAATCAACACTGTAAAGGAGGAGACTACGTTCTATGCTGTCCTAAACGCCGGAGGGCAACATAGAACGTCCCCGCCGTCAAAAGGATTTACCGGGTCCCTGCCCAGGCAGCCTCCTTCTGCACGATCCGGCCCTCCAGGGCCATGTGATCGCAGGGTCCTTGCGATCAAATGGCCGGAATAGCCAGCTCATGCAGTGCCAGCAGGAGGACTGCATGACCTCAGGCTGTCCCCCTGCTGCCTGTAAAAAAGTTTTAAAAGTTAAAAAAAAGGTAAATTAAGCGTTCTTAGATCATATGAATAATCGTTTATGCATACACACACACATAATTCTAAGTGTATTTTAATATTAATATATATATAGTTAATTATATATAAAAATAATTAAGAAAATTGAAAAAATTTAATTTTAAAAGAAAAGTGTGTGTGTATGTGTATGTATGTATGTGTATATATATATATATATATATATATATATATATATATACACACAAACATACATTTTTATATATAAATATATAAATACATCTGTATATTTATATAACATTTTTACATGATTAAGACATTTAATTAATTACTATTTGAGGGACTTGCCTGACAATGCAGGCAGAAAGTCCAGAGAATATGGTTCGTAAGCCCTATATGTAACTCTGTAACTTTGCAAGACACCATAAAACCTGTACACGGGGGGGTTCTGTTTTACTCGGGACACTTCGCTCAACACAAATATTAGTGTTTCAAAACCGTAAAACCGATCACAACAATGATAAAATTGTTGTGATAAGTTGTAATGTTTGGAAACACTAATATTTGTGTTCAGCGAAGTCTCTCAAGTATAACCGTATCCACCATGTACTATTGGGCAGACTAGATGGGCCGAATGGTTCTTATCTGCCGTCACATTCTATGTTTCTATGTACAGGTTTTATGGTGTTTGCAAAAGTTACAGCGTGTAATATAAAACTTGCATTTCCATTTTTTCACATTAAAAATCACCAGATTGGTAGCCCAGAATTACCCCCATGATGGCATAGCATTTGCAAAGGTAGACAACCCAAGGTATTGCAAATGGTGTATGTTCAGAATGTTTAAGTAGCCACTTAGTAACAAACACTGGCCAAAATTAGCGTTCAAATCTGTGTTTTTGCATTTTTCACACACAAATTAGAATGCTAACATTGGCCAGTGTTTGTGACTAAGTGGCTACTAAAAAAGACTGGACATAACCCATTTGTAATGCATTGGGTTGTCTACTTTTGCAAATGGTAATTATCATAAGGGTAATTTTCATTCCTGGGCTACCATATGGTCTCAAAGGCAACATAACCAGTCTGGCAAAGTTTAATGTGTATTAACTAAAATATGTAATGTGCTAAATTTGACCCTGTAACTTTCCAAAACACTATAAAACCTGCACTTGGTGGGTGCTATTTTACTCGTGAGACTTTATTGAATACAAATATGTGCATTTTATTTCAGTAACAGGTATTGTGACATTCACAGTTAAAATGCCACACAGAACTTCAAAAATGGTGGGTTTTTTTTGTTTTTTATATCTTCATTTTTCTAATTTTTTACATTTGTCATATTAAATTCTGTTTAATATATAAATATTTGATGTGACATGAAAGTCCTGATTTTTCCTGAACAAAATTAAATATAATAAGTGTGGGTGCATTTAATATGAAAGAGGTGAATCACGCCTGAACAGACATATAGCGCAAATTCAAGGTTTTGTTTACGTTTTGTTTTGATCACAACTTGTAGAACTGGCTCAGTCCTTAAAGGGGTTAAAAGAGGAAAGACTACCACAACAAGAGGACATTAGAGGGGCAAAGGTTTAAAAATAATTTTAGGAAGTATTACTTTACTGAGATGGTAGTGGATGCATGGGATAGCCTTCCAGCTGAAGTGGTAGAGGTTAACACAGTAAAGGAGTTTAAGCATGCTTGGGATAGGCATAAGGCTATCCTAACTATAAGATAAGGCCAGGGACTAATGAAAGTATTTAGAAAACTAGGCAGACTAGATGGGCCGAATGGTCGTCACATTCTATGTTTCTAAGGGTAAAGTTGTAAAAGTAGAGCAATCTGCAGGAACATTCCATTGGTTTCCATGTGTATATAGCATGTGTCCGTGGGACATCGGTGGCGTTTAGAGGGGGTTACTGTCATAAAGATATATGTGCTTAACTTGGCACGCTGACAGTCCTTTGATAACCAGCTGACCATTTGTATTTTAATAGCTGATTTTGGTAAATAGCCCGGGCAGTGGAAAATGGTGAATGTATTAGGAAGAGGTCGTGGTCATGAAGCTGCAACGCCATCCGCCACTATGTTAACCTGGTCCTCTGGCTCAGATAAATAAGTCTGGTGTGGGCTTATTCAGCACTGACAACGGAATTACAATGAGAGATATAAACTATTTCTTGTATTTAGTCACAGCTTGAATGGTGCAATTTGGTGTACAATTCACTGTTTTGTGGATAGCCGTGTACCAGATCAGGAATGTATGGGAGTATAAAGTGAGAGGAGCTTAGTGGGCAGTTACTTGCATGAGTGATTAGAGAGCGAAGATTAACTTTTCCAAAATGTAATATAGAACTGAATTAATACAGCTTTGTAATAACAGTGCTAGGCTTCCATACCGTTTTATTGCTGCTTTGGGCCCTTAGAATAGATTGAGATGGAGGAGAGGGTGGGGGTGTCTATTTTTGCTAAGAGGGAAGTGCTGAGCGAGTGCATTTATTGGTCAGTGGGAGGTTAGGCTTACCCAGTTTAAATCTCATTAGACTGAACATGACACTAGTTTAAAGGTCAGGGTCAGATATGATCTCCCTCATACAGATTAAACATAAACGTAAATCATGCAACTGAATATTCCGCATCATTAAACCGTTTTAAAGACACTTTAAAAAATAAATATTTTTTATTCATTTCAGTAAGTGCAAAATGTTTTTGAAATTCCACAATTTTTGTAAGATTGGTTAATAAAGAGTAAATTGCCATTATTTAAAATTCAATTTGGAACTGGCACCTCAGCTGAAATCGCTGTGAATGTATCGAAGATTTGTTTTCTTTGAAATTTTGAATGGAGTGGGCTGGTTTTTAAATGTCAAGTCTGGAGCAGCCATTTAATATTGTGTCAATTCGGTTCTTTCGATGCGTCTGAAATGTAATAACTGTATTAAAGGGAAACTCTAGTGCCAGGAAAGCAATCTGTTTTCCTGGCACTGCAGGTCCCCTCTCCCTCCCACCCCCAATCCTCTGTTGCTGAAGGGGTGAAAACCTCCTCCTCTGCATTACGTCGGATGGTGGACGAGACTGATCCCGGCCGTGCATGCGCATTGGCGCTCCCCATAGGAAAGCATTGAAACCAGGAAGTGCCCTCTAGTGGCTGTCTACTAGACAGCCACTAGAGGTGGAATTAACCCTGCAAGGTAATTATTACAGTTTATAAAAAAACTGCAATAATTACACTTGCAGGGTTAAGAGTAGTGGGAGTTGGCACCCAGACCACTCCAATGGGCAGAAGTGGTCTGGGTGCCTGGAGTGTCCCTTTTAACTAAATTGAGCTCACAAGAAACTAAATCTTATTTTAAAGGAACACTTTAGGGTCAGGAACACAAACATTTATTTCTGACCCAAAAGTGTTAAAACCATAATCCCCCTGCCATCTAAATATAGAAAATTTTACCCTTATTTCAGTCTGCTGCTGGCTCTGCCCCTGACTTGACTGCTTCGCTGACATCATCAGAAGTGGTGTTAGCTAATCACAATACTTTTAACATAGGAAAGCACTGGATTGGCTAAGACTGTCAAGGAGGCAGAGCCAGCAAAAGCCAAACACAGCCCTGGCCAATTAGCATCTCCTCAGAGAGATACATTAAATCAATGCATCTCTATAAGGAAAGTTCAGTGTCTGCATGCACTACCCCAGGAAGTACCTCTAGCAGCCATCTGAGGAGTGGTCAGTGGAGGTATCCCTAGCCTGTAATGTAAACATTGCATTTTCTCTGAAAAAAAACAGTGTTTACTGCAAAAAGCCTGAAGAGAATGATTACTCACCAGAACAAATGCAATATCTCTAGTTGTTATGATGACTATAGTATCCCTTTAATAGATTCAAATTATAATAGAGGCCAAATAGTTACGGAATCACTGAGGAATTAAATCTTCATTTTCCAAAACTAGAATTAATAATAATAATAGCGCACAGTGGGAGAAGCTCCTAATATTATCCCATAAAAGCTAGGTAAGCAGTAGGCACCAGTAAACCAACTACAAGCTACTCTCTTCTTGGTACAGAACGCCTGAATACCTGTACAGGGTGTACCCCACAGTGCCAAGCACATGCTGGAGAGGCGGAAGGGACAATCAGAAACTTGTGGTGGGATTGTAACCAAATAAAACCATTTGGGGAATTGGGTCAAAATCAAGGTCTCGGGAATACTTCTAGATAGAAAATGTTCTTCTACATGCTACCCTGTCCCCATTAGCCATATTAAAAAAAAATCCATCTACCGTCACGTCCTAAATGCAGCCAAATCGCTGATACCTGCCCTGTGGAAACAAGATAAGACCCATGCGATCGTGCAGTGGTTAGGAAGGGTGGGGGAAATACATTCAGCGGAAGCAATGCAGGCATCTCTGGTAGGTAATGACGCAAAACACACAGATCTGTGGTGGCCCTGGTTTGGGTATGTGGCATGGGCAGATGCTGTGCTAGTCGGGGGTGCGGGTAATGACTTGCAGGGTCTAGAATAATGGGTTCGACCCACAGCTTGCCTATATGTCCCCCCTTACCGCATTGCTCACCTATCTTGTATTACACTGTTACCTACTGCTTCTTGACCTATTTATTTCTAACTACTGCCTACCCAGAAGGCGATGACATGGATGGGCCTGGACAGAGCAACCGGATACTTAGGAGCCAACCGCTAATATTGGTGCTGACACAGTTATAGACCTATTTTGAGAGTCCTTTCCTATAGCAACATTGAGTTTATGAGAGATATGGGGAAGGATATATATGCAAACCTACTTATCCTGGCCACAGCCTAGATCTCATGCCTCAAATTATGTCCCACTTCCCAGTACTCGGTCTGACCAAAGGAATATACACAAGATGAATAGTTAAAGGGACACTTTAGTCACCCAGACCACTTCAGCTCAATGAAGTGGTCTGGGTGCCAAGTCCCTCAGGTTTTAACCCTTCACATGTAAACAGTTTCAGAGAAACTATGTTTACATAGCAGGGTTAATCCAACCTCTAGTGGCTGTCTTCATGACAGCCGCTAGAGGCGCTTCTGCGACGTTGGATGTGAAATTCCTATGGACTGTTTAAATGCGCGCGCAGCTCTGGCCGCGCATGCGCATTCCGTTCCACTCTGGAGCTGATGTCGGGAGGGGAGGTCACCTGCACTGGATTAAGGTAAGCTGCTGAAGGGGTTTTAACCCCTTCAGCCCAGCGGGAGGGGGACCCTGAGGGTGAGGGTCCCCCAAGGATGCTATAGTGTCAGGAAAATGGGTTTGTTTTCTTGACACTAGAGTGATCCTTTAAGTTTTCTTGTAATGTCATATTTATAGTTAAATCCCCCCTCTAATAATATTGTAAAGCGCTATGGAATCTGTTGGCGCTATATAAATGGAGATAATAATAGTTCTGTTCCTACATCTACAATTCAGATGCCTCCTATATAACCGAACCTGCTAGAAAAAAACAGGGATGATAACAATAACGCGGTTTCCGCACCTAGCTGATCATTGAAGGGTACGACTACCACTGCATTATATTTTGTGATGTTCTGTAGGCCCTGATAGATGCTTATATTTCTCCTTTTTATTTTTATGTAATACTGATTACTGAATACCTAATACTTACCTGCGTCTTTGTTTATATTCACTGAGACCTGCGTGTCTCACACTCGTAGCAATTGTCCTATTGTACATGTGAAACTATATTTGCTTCAATAAAGACTTGTTAACCAAAATAATAATAATAAAAGATCCCCCTCATAAATGATAGATATACATGTGTACATCCCAAGTGACCCTATTTAGGAGGGACAGTCCCTATTGTCTAGAAGCTCCATATTGTTATGTCTGAGTGTATAACAGAGCTCCACAGCAATAATACTCCCAGTAATGTGTCTGAGTGTATAACAGAGCTCCACAGCAATAATACTCCCAGTAATGTGTTTGAGTGTATCACAGAGCTCCACGGAAATAATACTCCCAGTAATGTGACTGAATGTATAACAGAGCTCCACAGTAATAATACTCCCAGTAATGTGTCTGAGTGTATCACAGAGCTCCACAGCAATAATACTCCCAGTAATGTGTCTGAGTATATAACAGAGCTCTTCAGTAATAATACTCCCAGTAATGTGACTGAGTTTATAACAGAGCTCCACAGCAATAATACTCCCAGTAATGTGTCTGAGTGTATAACAGAGCTCCACAGCAATAATACTCCCATGTATGTGTTTTTAAACTACAATTAAAGTGTTATGGGCAAATGCAAATATTACAAGTTTTAGAATAAAATGTTGTATTTCTTAAACTGTGTGTTTAAAAGTCAGCCTGTGGAAATAAGATACTTTGTACTTCTTCTAAATTTACATTTTAATTGTATAAATTATTAGTAAGTCACCTACAATTTCTCAGAACAGCCCCGCCCCTGGCCACAACCCTAAAATCAAATTGTCACTCTTTGTCCATTTGAAATGTTGGGACGTATGCATATGCATAATGTGAGGGGTGGAAAAAATATACACAGGATTTCCTAGAACATATGAAACTTATGAGGACACTACATAATGATATTGCAGCCTGAACATACACCCTGCAATGTGCCTGAAGCTCCTCCTACCTACAGATCCACCCTACTACTGTGTAGCACTGTACAGTTTGGGCTCCTGTATAATGTGGTCTTTCACACTATCACTGTGTGAGACAGAGTGATTGACCAGTGGAGCAGAGTAGACATATGTTGGGCATGGGAGGGAAGAGGCTGATTCAATATTTAGTAAATAAACACCATGGTTATTTTAAATTATCTTCTAATCAAGTTAATAATTTGCTCTTTCCTGGGCATGGCAGTAGAGACTAACTCGGAGGCATGGAGCAGCCAGTCTGCCTCCAAATGACACAGGAATTGTTGGATGCATGATAGTGTTATTTGCAGGCAAGATGGCTGCAGGGTTATTCAATAAAGTGAGATTTCAAATTGAAGACCAAAGTAATCGAACTGAAAGCAGAACTAACTGAGAATTTTTCCGGTTTGGCTATTTTAACCTTAAATTTGACACTTTAATAAAAACATCTGCCTGTCTTTTAATAAATACACTTTCTGGCAATTCCCCTAGCTCAGTCTATAAATGTAATATATAATATGCAATACATACCCACCTGAATGTGAATTGTTAAAAGCACGACTGTGGATGCCAAGTTCCCTTTAACTTCACTAAAATGTGTTCTCAGGAATTCAAAGGGAATTTTTCAATGTTAGACTAGAAAAGCCGAACTGGGAAGATTCTCCAGGGCAGCCGCATTTTAAGTTCAGCTGTTTTGGTCTAAACTTTAAAACTGACTGAATCTGCGCCCATTTAGTTTAGTAAATATTGCTGTGAATGTTTGGATCTCCTAGCAGCGTGTGTAAATACACACACACACACATACAGGCACGCTGTGAGAGTTGGACAATAAACAGGCGATTTCACAATCCGTTTCTGTTGATGCTGTAAGAGGAAAAGGCTGATAGGAGCCATCGCCTCCGCTTGTATTAGCTCGCAGGGAATCCATCAGGGTTAGGTCAGAGGGCGGAAATAGTGAAACGAAATGATGAAGGAGCCGCTTTCTCTTTAGGATAATACACTAATTGGTTTAAATCCGCAAAATATTATAGTAAACCGAAAATCACATCAGGCAGAAATGATTATATTTGAACAATCTCCAGTTCCACTATAATCACAGATCAGCTGTGAGCCTTAGCCAAAATTCTGAAAATCATTTTATCTTGTGAAAAAACTTTAACGTCTGATGGTTACGAAAGTGAAGTGTTTTTTTACTCCACCATGACTTATCACCTAATCGGTTTAAAACTGCATTGTTATGCCATCTGATTAATGCTGCAAGGGATCTTTTGCACTTTCATTGGAGAAGTCCTAAACCTACGAGAGTTGGGCAATGGCTTGTTGAAGTGGAGGAGATCAGATTGCTGGAGCTGTTTGTGGCATCCTCACAGGGAACCTCGGAGAAAGTTGCCAGATTATGGTTTACTTGAGACATTTTCATAGAGTTAAACAATTCCACTCTTTTTTGCTTGTCTCACCCCAAATCTGACTTTGCGTGGACACTACCCTCAGTGGGAATTGAGACGAGTATATTGGTTTGGTCTCTGGGAGGTCCTGCCTCCTCTTTTTTGCGAGGAGTCATGGGGGTGGGGGATAAAAGCCTTCTAACAGTTTAACTGATATGCTTTCTTGAAGAAGTGAGTTTTCAATGATTTTTTTCAATGAGCGGAGATTGGGTGAAAGTCTAACGGAGAAAGGAAGGGAGTTCCACAGAAGAGGTGCAGCCCTGGAGAAGTCTTGGAGGCGAGCATCAGAGGTGGGAGTACGGACAGAGGATAGACGTAGGTCTTTGGCATTAAAAAAAAGATAATAAAAAAACATTGGCATATACTCAAACACGACAAAATACTCCAACACATTTTACCAGAACACCCCAATATAGTTTTTAGAGGCGCACCAAATTTTAAATCAATCTTAACAAAAAATTTCACTAAGGAACCCTCTAAAAAAATCACCCCTTCCTTCTTTCCCCAGACCAAGGGATTTTATAAATGTAAACACTGTGTAGAATGTAGGAACACGGATCCCTCCGTACCATCCAAAGTCACGCAATTTATGTCTAATAGGACAAAAAATGTATATACGATAAAAGATTTTATTTATCTGCTTGAATGCCCATGTGGCTTCCAGTATGTTGGAATGACCACAAGGTGCCTAAAGACGGGATTAAGCGAACACTGCAGAAATATTAAAAATGGATACCAGACTCACTCAGTATCCAAACATTTTACTAAACACAATAATAACCCAAAATTACTCAAATGTATCGGTATTAAAAAATGTTCCACCCCATGGAGAGGTGGAGACATAAAAAACAAACATTCTAGGGAAAACAGAAATGGAATGGGTGTATAATTTACAGAACCTTATACCCCAAGGTCTCAATGCAGATTTTGATCTGCATAACTTTTTATGATCTGATTTTATTTATAATGTACACATACGCTTTAACCTATTAACTATGCCATACTGTGTTTTTTGTTTTTTTTTTATGACAATTTTATTATATGATAGCATTATAGCATATTCACCATTATAATTATATATTTTTTATTATTATATCTGGTACTATATTTATATGTCTATATATCAGTACTAGCCTGCATTATAACTGATGGATTTTACCAGCCTAGCTTACATCTATGCAGGCCAGCTATTCCTATATAGCCTGCATAGTGTATTTCAGCTACTTTATGGTAATAGCTATCCATTTACTCCTTGCCATCCAAAAGATGCCCGAATGCTCCACCCTCTGCCCCCTCCAAGATGGCCGCGGTCCGTTTTTATCATGGCCGTGCGGCATTATACACCACTTATTTTAACTTGTGTCACAGCTGATGTGAGGCACAGGCACTGTGTGCATAGATTACCTTTCCCTTCACATTAGTCCCCAGCCGCCCTCAACCGAGCGCTGGTAGCCCTGCCCCTTTCCAAAATGGCCACGACCCGTTATTACTAAGCCTGTGCCACTGGGAACTACATTTCCCATGCGGCAAAGCTATTATGACACGCGTATTTGCGCGTCACATGTCTTTTTTCATTAGTTATTAACTATCCTTTGCTACCCTCGTTTTTTATATATTTTATTAGTGCTGTATTAAGATAGGAGTTATTGCATACATAGCATCTAATTCTGTTTTGTAAAGTATATTACTGTACTCTATGTTGATTGGCTGCACCATTTTGGCACAAATTCTAATTAAATTCCACCCCTATAAAAAGTACACCAGCCAGGTAATATGCTTTATTCCATTTGAAAAAGTCTTTTTTTGGACGAAACGCGTTATGGAAATCTTATATTGTGTATTTTATTCTATTAAAGGACCACTATAGTGCCAGGAAAACATACTCGTTTTCCTGGCACTATAGTGCCCTGAGGGTGCCCCCACCCTCAGGGACCCCCTCCTGCCGGGCTCTGGGGAGAGGAAGGGGTTAAACACTCACCTTTCTCCAGCTCCGGGCGGGGAGCTCTCCGCCTCCTCTTTCGGCTGAATGCGCATGCGCGGCAGGAGCTGCGTGCGCATTCAGCCAGTCTCATAGGAAAGCATTCATAATGCTTTCCTATGGACGCTTGCGTCTTCTCACTGTGATTTTCACAGTGAGAAGCACGCAAGCGCCTCTAGCGGCTGTCAATGAGAATGCCACTAGAGGCTTTAGAGGCTGGATTAACCAATTTATAAACATAGCAGTTTCTTTGAAACTGCTATGTTTATAAAAAAAATGGGTTAACCCTAGCTGGACCTGGCACCCAGACCACTTCATTAAGCTGAAGTGGTCTGGGTGCCTAGAGTGGTCCTTTAAAGATCTTTAGGTCACCTTTTTTGTGCCAATCATCTTTTATACACTTTATATACTTTTATTGTTTTACCTGGCTTTTTAACTCTCTGTACTCCAATAAATCCTAGGTGGGGATCATACCCCCAACGTTGACATCATAGAGCAGTGTGTCTGCTCTACACTTGTGAGTACTATTTTTATATATTACTTAGCACTGATATTTTATACCTGTGAGCACTATCAGTTGTTTCTTTTTACCCCCTTTCGGAGTGCTGGATACATCACCTGAAGGAAGTAACCCACTATATCCCATACGCCCTTCATGCCAGAGCTGGTCATAGCTCTCGCAAATGTGAGTCTAATATTATCATTATATACTAGTTACACACTGGACCAGACATATTGCACTATTGGTTGCCT